GTCCGTGCTGCATGCTTGCAGCATAAGGATTAATATTATGATGATGATGTGCTGCAGCAGCATATCCAGGATTTTGTGGGGCCCCTGCACCTACAGGGGGCCCCACAGGTGGGGCCCCCTGTAAGAATTCAAGGGGCCTCTCCCATGTAGTTATACCTGTTAATTCGTTATGGTAATAGGGCCTCCCTTCTGAGGAGAAATATTCCTTCCAGTGCCCTGCTTGTCTTGGGTTATGATTATTATTAGCTGCTGCTGCTGCTGCTGCTGCTGCTGCTGCTGCAGATGCTGCAGTTGCTGCTGGTCCTGCTGCTGCTCCTGTAGCATTTGTTAATGGGGATACACCTGAAAGAGACGGAGAAGATGATGATAGGACCCTCATACCACCACCACCAATATGATGAGGGGGGGGGGCCCCCCCTCCCATTGTATTAGGGGGGCCCCCTAACATACCACGGGGGCCCCCTCCTGCTGCAGTACCCATTGCTATACCACCAGACATACGACCACCACCATGACCCATTGATGCATTTACTGCAATAAAACAACATACAACATAAAATATACATATACATATATATACATACATGTACATATACATATATACATATACATATATACATATATTTACGTATATAATTACGTATAATATATACATAATAAAATATACAATAGACATATACATATAAATACATAGATATACAAATAGATATACATATATACATATATACATAAACACATAAATATACATATAAATATATACATATATACACGTACATATACATATATACATACACATATATACATAAACACATAAATATACATATAAATAAATATATATATATAGATATAAATATACATATATAAATATACATATATACATATAAATAGATGTAGATAGAGAAAAAGGGAGCTAGACCGATCCCCTTTTCCCTTTTTTTTTGTCCCTTATTGCATGCATATATATATAAATAAATATAAATAAATAAATATAAATAAATAACTTACGCATTTGTTGTCTTTGTGCCCTACTCTCCGCAAATCGTACTTCCATAGGTCGAGTACATCCTTGCCAACAATGTTTACCATTTAAGGAATTAATTGCATAAAAAGCTTCCTCTTTATGGGACATTTTAACAAATGCGCAGCCACGTCCTTGTCCTGTAGCTGAATCCTTCATTAGGAATACTTCCTCTACCTATACAGCAGCAAATGCAGCAACAACAGCAGCAATCTATACTATATACAGAGACGAACTCAATAAATGGTTATAAGCTAGGGGTTAACAAACAATTTAATGTATAAACACTCAATTAGGGTTTAGGGTTTAGGGTTTAGGGTTTAGGGTTTAGGAATTTACCGTGCCATAATTAAGAAAGAAATTCTTTAATTCTTCGTCCTTTAATGTACGAGGTAAACTACCAACAAATAATTTTGCTTGAGGTACACCAGGCTCGCATGCCTGCAGCAGCAGCAACAGCAAATGCAGCAGCAGCAAATGCAGCAGCAGCAGCAGGAGATGCAGCAACAGCAGCAGCAACCTTGTTATAAACAATACTACAACGTGTATAGACAAATATAGACACAATGCATGCAACAATATACAACAACAGACACAGCTAGCTAGCTAGCTAGCTAGCTAGCTATAAATAAATAAATAAATAAATAAATAAATAAATAAATTACCTGTGGATTAAGACCTAGTCTCTCTGCCTCTCCTGTTGCATACTTAACCGTCATTGGCCCCATGGCGGACTCCAAGACACGACTGTTATGTAGTGCACGAATTGCATTATCTGCTGCTGTTATTGAAGCTGTACATACACCCCATCAGCAGCAGCAGCAGCAGATAAAGCAGCAGCAGCAGCAGCAGGAGGAGGAGGAAGAAAGAGACGCAGTATATAATACATCATAAAGTATATCATATAATACCTTAAAATAAAGATAATTAAATAAAAAAAAAGACATAAATAAATAAGAATAAATAAATAAATAAATAAATAAATAAATAAATATAATATAATAACTTACCCATTTTAACGAATGCACTATTTTTATGTTTATTAGTATTTTTATCTCTAATAATAATAAATATAGGATATAATAGATAAAAAAGAGGAGAAAAAAGGCAAGATAAATAAATAAATAAATAAATAAATAAATATAATATAATATAATATAATAACTTACCCATTTTAACGAATGCACTATTTTTATGTTTATTAGTATTTTTATCTCTAATAATAATAACTTCTCTTACATCACCATATTCTTGAAAGATTGGTTTTAAATTTTCTTCTTCAATTGATTGAGGTACACGTCCTATAAATAATTTTATCTCTACAGGAGGAATTATTTTTTCTCCTCCTCCTCCTCCTGTTGCTGCTGCTGCTGCTGTTGTTGTTGTTGTTGCTGCTGATGGTGTTGGTGCTGCTGATGATGATGATGGTTGTTGTTGTTGTTCAGGTGTTGAACCACTACTGTTGCTGCTGCTGTTGTTGTTGGTGTTTGTTGCTGTTGTTGATGATGTTGTTGTATCTGCTCCTGGTGTTGCTACTGATGATGAGGATGAGGAAGAAGATGAGGATTCTTGTTGTTGCTGCTGCTGTTGCTGCTGTTGCTGCTGCTGCTGCTGCTGCACTAAGGCTTCTGCAGCACCATTTGATTCGTGAGCTGTATCAGACATTTTCTTCAATTAATCCTGAATCATTCATCAATATCATATCACATCTATAAACCCTAATAAACCCTAAACCCTAAACCCTAAACCCTAAACCCTTATAATGTCATGAGGTATATATTATACTTACAATATATATGTATATATGTATAAAAATATACAAATATATACAAAATCTTATTTATTTACTTATATATACATGTATATATATATACATAAACATAAGACGGCCTGTATATATGAATAAGAAGGGTCTTTCTTTTGCCCCACAAGAAAATAATTATTTAATAAAACAATAAAAATATTAAATAAATAAATTAAAACAGAAATTAAAACAAAATAAATGGCAAAAAAAAAAGAAACCTCCCCCCACGTGCAGCAGCAGCAGCAGCAGCAGCAACAGCAGCAACAGCAGCAACAGCAGCAGCAGCAGCACCTGTATGAGAATAGTGATGTCCAAGCTGCGTATACACCCCAATCGTTACAAGCAGCAAATAAAATTAAAACAAATAACAAAAACGATCACAAGAAGCTGCTGAAGCGAAGCCCCTGCAGCAGCAGCAGCAGCTGCTGCAGCGGCAACAGCAGCAGCGGCAGCGCATAGCGGCCGCAGCAGCAGCAGCAGCAGCAGCACGCGACACAGCAGCAGCAGCAGCAGCAGCTACCCACACGTGTAGTGTATAAGGCCGCGACGAGGCCCTGCTGAGGGGCTGCTGCTGCTTAATTTACACGACTGCAGCAGCAGCAACAAATTAAATAATTTATTTCTTTCTTGTCTTTTATTATTTTATTGCTGCTTACTCTTTATTCTTATTTATTTCTTCTTTATAAACTATTTGCTGCTGCTGCTGCTGCTGTTGCTGCTGCTCCTCCTCCTCCTCGGAAACCCGAGCGATCCGTATACTATATACAACAAGGCTCGCGGGCGGGTCTTTTGCTGCCGCCGCCACAGCAGCAGCAGCAGCCGCAGCAGCAGCAACAGCAGCTGCAGCAGCAAATAGACCTATAAGCGCCTGTCTTTCTCTTATCTCTTTATTTCTGTCTTCTTCTCCTTTCTTTCTTCCTTGCCGCTGCAGCAAAACAGCAGCTGCTCGCGACCTCATCGCGGCCTCGACTGACCAGCAGCAGCAGCAGCAGCAGCAACAGTACCAGCAGCAGCAACAGCAGCAGCATAACGTTCAGCTCCACCTAGACACACTTCACCCAAAACAGCAACTTGCACAGCAGAAGCAGCAACAGGCAGCAGTTCAACAGCAGCAACAGCAGCAACAGCAGCAAAAGTAGTGCTGCGCGGGCCCTCCGAGCCTATTTTCTGCGTGTGTTGCAGCAAAGACAGCAACAGCAGCAGTAACAGCAACAGCAGCAGCAGCAGCAGCAGCGGCAGCAGCAACGGACGAACCTCTTGGCGCGACTGCTGCAGCCGCTATATTAGCACACCCGAGCAAAGAAACCCAACAACAGCAGCAGCTGCATAAACAGCAGCAGCAATATAAACAGCAGCAGCAGCAGCAGCAACAGCAGCAGCAGCAGCAGCAAGATGTCGGGGTCTATGGATGAGGTGCTGCAGCAGACGGTGGTCTATGGGGTCCTAGCAGTCGTGCTGCTCTCCCCTCGTCTGCCGCAGCTGATGCCGCAGCGCCAGGCTAAATTTATTGCTTATATGAGGAAGCCAGGTATATATATAAACCCTAAACCCTAAACCCTAGTTCTTCTTTACCAACATTGCACGGATGCTAGAGGAATATCTAGGGTTTAGGGTTTAGGGTTTAGGGTTGAATGCCGGTCGAAGGAAAGCCTTCTCGATCCTTTTTGGTAGACACACGGTGCCGGTCTATCTTCCAGGATTTAGGGTTCCGAGGGTTTAGGGTTTCTAGGGTTTACAGTTTAGGGTTTAGGGTTTCTAGGGTTTAGGGTTTGTGTGTTGCAGTGCTGACGGCTGTATTAATGTATTTGGCTTATTTGCCAATCGCAACTCCTCGTAAAAACTTTTATTCAATGTTGGAGGTGGATGTGCATGCAAATCGTAATGATATATTACAAGTAGGGTTTAGGGTTTAGGGTTTAGGGTTTTTTAGGGTTTTTTAGAGTTTTCTAGGGTTTTCTAGGGTTTGGTGGAGGATTTAGGGTTTACATTTATGCACCATTTTATATAGATATATAAATATTCATATTTCCTCTATATATTATCAATTATAAAGAAATAAAAATTTTCAAAATTTTCTAGGGTTTAGGGTTTAGGGTTTAGGGTTTAGGGTTTAGGGTTTAGGGTTTTGGAATTTTTTTTTTTTTTTTTTTTTTTTTTTTTTTTTTTTTTTTTTTTTTA